TATGTATGGATATGTTTTTGGTGGTCATCCAAGCAAACTTATTGACTCACATTTAGATTAACAACTTTTTGCGATACTTTTTAGCATGACATTGATAAATGACCGCTTGATTTGATAATGTTGATAACAAATTTCATTGCACTCATTCTGTCTAAGTAAAAATTCCATTCAAAATAATTAAATGCAACAACAATGAAATAACAGTTACCAAAGTACTTATAGACTCCAAATGGCACAATAGAAGCACCAAGCGTGAAAGCGTGCCTTTTCTCACGTGAGCCATAGACCCAAGCAGCTTTTAACTTATCGCCAAAAGTCTGCGAATGAAACATTTGTTTATCTAAATCGCAACCAACGCAAGGTGAACCATTTCAAAAATTTCACAGGNTCCATTCAAAATAATTAAATGCAACAACAATGAAATAACAGTTACCAAAGTACTTATAGACTCCAAATGGCACAATAGAAGCACCAAGCGTGAAAGCGTGCCTTTTCTCACGTGAGCCATAGACCCTCTAGCAGCTTTTAACTTATCGCCAAAAGTCTGCGAATGAAACATTTGTTTATCTAAATCGCAACCAACGCAAGGTGAACCATTTCAAAAATTTCACAGGAAATTTCATAAACAATGCAGGCGACGTCGTATGACGTCCAATCGCCAACGTCATAGCCATATTCCATTTTACTAAACGCGCTCATATGATCTCTGTTGGTTGGTCTCGTGGCCGCATTTGCCCCCAAAACATCTATGAGTATTGTTATTGTGTTAATACTTACGTAAATATTGACTTTTGTGAATATTAATGTATGTACATTGGGCTGCATCACCAAAAAAAAGTTGCGGTTTTTCTGCCGGGATTACAAAATTTATTATATTCTAAGACGTCCACCAAAATGTTTCGAAAAAATATTAAGATTTAAGCAAGCTGAACCGATTTGAAAATACCTCGAAAAATAAAGCTTTTTATTATGACTAAAAATATNTATTCTAAGACGTCCACCAAAATATTTCGAAAAAATATTAAGATTTAAGCAAGCTAGACCGATTCGCAAATACCTCGAAAAATAAGGCTTTTTATGACTAAAAATAGTTTCTTAAAAAACTTTTTGAAAAAGGTCCCCTGAGATGACAAAACAGATTAGGCTTAGAAAATCTGCATAAAAACATTTCAATATCTTTTCAACGGAATCGTAATCAGGGCTGCCATCTTGGCTCAAACCGTGCCATTTTTGGCCCTATTTTACATCAAATGGCACTTAATTTTTCAATTTGACACAAAGTGCCAAAATGGCACTTTTGAAAAATAGTTCTTTTTCTCAACTAAACTTTTCTAATTTCTAAAGATTATTCAACTGGTTTATCTAATTTTGGCATTGCACTTTTGTTTTAGAAATGTAGTTCTTATTTTATTGCTAAATGGGAAGGATTAACAGGGATGGAACCTTTTTTTGGCACTTTTACTTTTCTATTTGGCACATTTTGGCACTTTTTTATCACCAATATGGCACTTCATAGCTAAGGATAGTTGGCCGCCCTGATCGTAATAATTAGATTTTTGATGTTGTTTTTTACTTTTTTCAAAGAATGATTTACGAAAAACTTAAATAACTGGTTCAAAAAACAAAACGCTTTAAGCTTACAAAATTTACATAAAAATATTTAAAAAAAATAAAAAAAAACATTGAACGGAATCGTAATAATGAGATTTTTGATGCGGTTTTTAAAATTTTTTGAAAGATTGCCACCAAAAGTATTTCGGAAAAATATTAAGATTTAAGCGAGCTGGACCG